CCAATGCCACCAGAAAATCCCTGCTAGATCGATGGATGGCGCGTAGAAAACGAAGTGTACAGGTAATTCAACCTACTTAAAAAATTAAGTAGGTAGCTATAATACACGTAATTCAACCTACTAAACATTTAAGTAGGTAGCTATAATACATAAGGACCCAAAAAAGACCGCTAGAGACAACCTCACCGCTGAACCCAAGTTAATATTACGTCAATTCCAGGCAAGATTTATTTTATAAAAACAATGCTATGTACATATTGTGAAAAGTATTTTCACAGTGAAAATGTTTACGGGTGTACTCTCATGATGCACAGTCATGTAAACAGTAGGTTATTCGAAAGCACTGCATATTACCCCCACGAAAAAAATTGAGAACTAGCCTTTTTATGTTGTCAGGAGAGAAGTGCGAGATTACGGTGACCATTCAAGTCAAGGCATCTGCTTTAACAATAGTCTTCTGATAGGGGTTGGAGTCCGTGTAGAGTAATTCATAGCTCAACATTAATATCGCTTCTTCAAAGACTAATGTCCATTCAGACAACCAGGCAAGTTTGACATTTTGCCTGAGGACCTCCTCCTTGTGATATTCAGCATTCTTTTTTGACCATGTGGTACAATGTGGAGATCAGATAGCCCTCCAAATGGAATTGCTCCCCACACCATGTTTGAAGGGCTAAACCTTGGAACTTCGACATTTTCAAACATGTTACGACTTGGGGCCCAAAAACGTCCTTCTTGCGTTTTGCGAATGGAACAGTCCATACGGCGATTCATCGGAGAGCACGATTTGTTTACAGTCGTTTACAGTCCCCCTTCTGACCACCTTACAGCAGGTCATCCTACTTTTGATCTGTTTTGCTGTTAGTCTATGAGTTTTCCTTCTGTCTTGGGCGGTAACACCCAAACTTTCATGCAAATAGTGGTGCATAGTGGACTTAGAAGCCCTCAGATCTTAAGCATTCAGTTTCTTTGCAAGTTTCCTTGTGTTTTGCCTTGTTTTACCAATGAGTTTTGCATTAACTATCTTATGAACTCTCCCCAAAATTTTCGGCCTTCCAGAGTTCTTCTGTTTTGTGAATGTACCTGTTCGTTTGTACTGTGACCACGAATGATTGACCATTCTGACAGATATTCCCACGGCTTTAGCAACCCCACTCGCTTCACCCCGGCCTCCATCATACCTATAGCTCGAGCTGCGTCCTATGATTTTCGCGCCATCAGAATCTCAGACACTTTTTTTTACTGGTTTACAGTTTTCTATTATTCCTGTACTGCTGAAATGTACAGTAAACACTGTGTGCAAACTTTGCTTACAAGTAAATCAGCAACCAACGAGGTTGAGTAATATATAAGTATTATTGCTGAATATGAAATTATGAAGACATTTTAGACCTTTTAAAAGGTTCAAATAATTTTAGGATACCCCATATTTTCTCGTACGTTATTTGTGTATTTCTAACAGAAAAGCGTTTCACAAGAAAAGGTAGGTGGAAGGTCCCTGTGGTCTTCTTAGCTAAGGAGGACTGGTACTTAAAGTATTCTGAAAATATTGGCTAAGAAAAGGTTGAACCCACATACTTTCAGTAGGTTTCGAACTGTGCCTTGTAAAAAAGAACTCGACTAATGCCAAAATACGCAGTATTTATTATTGAAAAAGAGAAAAACAAAGTATAAAGCAGGGCCAACAGCAGCTGCAGTTAATTTCGAATGAAGAAAGACGGTGTTGTACGCTTTTAAATATTTGGTCGTTAAAGTTACTTGAATGAGAACAAAATCTACCAACGGTACTCTCTCTCTGTCAAATTAAATGAATGATGGTAATGACAAAGTACAATTAGATTTTATAGGCATTATAATGCATCCAGTAACAATTTTTGGGGAAATTCTTCATCAATCATTGAAATTGGGTGCTGTTGATCTGCCGGAGAGACTACGCATCAGCCTTTCGCGCATGTTCCTCAAGCTCGATGGGACGAACATCGCCATCACAATCACTATCGGCATCAGTATTAGCATCATCTTTGCGAAGATGATCGGGTAGGTCTTGCGCAATGCACACGCTGGTAAGTCTCCTAGCAGGGTTTACTAGCTGCTTCCTGCAGAGGTGGGCGACCACTCCAGCGCCGTAAGCATCGCCCATCACATTGATAGAAGTTCGGATACGATCTCTACATAAAACACGAAATATGGTTACTAACTACGTATAAGTAGGTGCACTCATTAGTTTGTAGTTTTCTCCAATGGCTAATCGGAGCGAGCCAGGACCAGCGGGAACATAAATAATAAATGGCTGTCGGAGATCAGAGACTGATAAACACCACCTCACCATCAATGGATTAGAATGGCTTATGAGACGGCAGAGAAAATCAATACCAATAGTCAGCTGTACGAAGCTTCAATACTTTGTGCATGAAAGACTCGCTTACTCTATTTTCAAGTCCTCAAAAACACAGGTAGTTAAATGCATAGGTTAAGGAATGACAAGAGCAAATATCATTGAAAGGGTGCTTTCGATAGTCCTGACTCTCGCTGACGAACGTTCATCGATCGCTAACGGAACTTAATCATCCGGCTCTGCCTTGGGGCTCATTCTTAAGCGTCGCTAGCAGTCCCACCCGAGGCTAGAACTTACGAGTTTTTGATCAGAAGTCTAACGCTCTAATCATTGAGCCACGAGCTCCTTGTTTTTGCCGCAAACGCTATCTGCCTAGTGCTGACTCTGTAGGTTAGA